CAATAAAAACAAAAAGAGTTGCTTTGGGGGTGAATTCAAGGAGTAGGAGGGTACCTGGCAGCCACCAAGACAACTGGTTGGGCTACTTCAGTAATAGCAGACATCTGGCTAGGCCGCCGTGTCCGCTTCATTTCCCACTGTTCCCAAGCAAGAGCCAACAGAGATGTCCTGCCTACAACAGGAACGAAGGAAGAGAAGCAAGCACCAAATGACTATCAACTCCCAGGATATTTGGGGGTACTTTAATGCCCAGAACCCAATTTATTGACAACTCCAGCCAGTACCATATCCTGCCCATCCCCACAATTGCTAGAGGCAGGCTACAGTAAACAGAGCATTCACAGGGAGGCTAATAGGGAATCCCAAGTACCAGGAAAAGCAGATGAACAAGAATTACCAGATATTCAAGGAAAAGCAACACCATGAGAAAAAATGCATCAAATGCAACAAACAAAAGAAGCAAATACACCAAGAAAATGCATTACCTAGGACAAACGAGGATTTTTTAAAAAGTAATTGTTTTCAGAAGAATGAGAGAATATTAAACCCTTGAAATAAAAATAGGGTGTTTTTGTTTTTAATAACAGACTTGTAGGAAAAAAAGAAAATTCACTAAACAGACCAAATGGGAGAATAAATACAGCAGAATAGCAAATAATGACCTTGAAGATTGAGTGAAGGAGTTCTCCTTAAATATAGTACAACAGACAAATAGAAAGTAGAAAAGTTAAGAAATCTAGAGGCTGCATTCAGAAGTTCTAAAGCAGAAGTTCAAGAAGAAACGAGCAAGAATGGTGTTAAAAATAATGTCCACTTGAAAAATAAAGAAAAAAAGATTACTCAAAGAAAAGAAAGCCTCAAATTAATATCTTCATTAATTTTAATGTTCTTAGAAATAATGGGAGAGTGGAAATAAAAAACATAACAGAAGGTCCAAGAGATAAAATGGAACAACTCTCCCAGAATCTAGAGCAAAAATACCAAGAGGTGAAAAATAAGAAAGAAGAGACAGAGAACTTTCCAGGAAGTACAATATCCAAAAAGTAAAAAATTTAAAAAAAGAGTACCCAGAAAGACAGGGAAAAGAAAGGGTAGGAAATCATCAAAGAAGTAATCCAAGAGGATTTTCCTGATGGAGGAGTCCACTCAGTGCTCAGCATAATGAATTAAAATAAATTCACACCAAGACATGTCATTGTAAAGTTTCGAGGAGAATATAAGCTTCCAGGGAGTAAAAACAGGACTTATGTAAAAAGGATCAAAGAATCATAATAGCCTGGGATCTCAAGAACAACATTAGAAGCTAAAAGGCAGTAGAACCACACTTTCACAATTTTATAGGAGAATTACCAGAATTCTATACCCAGTGAAAGTATCAATCAAGTGTGAGAGTAAAATAAAAATATTTTCTGACACACAAGGTCTCAAATACTTTACCTCTCATCTACCTTTTATCAAACAAGGGTATGAATCAGAAAAGAAGAAGATACGGGCTCCAGAAGATCCGAACCATGAGAGAAGTGAAGCAAATCCCCAGGATGAAGATCCCAAGTTAATAACTTTAGTGGGGCCAAAGAGTACCCTGTCCAGGAGGAGGAAAGATGGGGGCGTAAGCAGCTACATTCTCCCACAACAAAAATAGAAGATGCCAGGCAAAAAAAGATGAATAATGGTCTCAGAACTCTGGAAACGAGTGAAAGAGTAACAACATCTTAGCAAACACTGAATTAAGAAAAAGCCTGCTCCACTGAACCATTTGTGTAGTAATTGTTAAATGAGAACCTAATTTGTTGTGTAAACTTTCAGCAAAAACACAATAAAATATTATTTGAAAAGAAAAAGCCTGCTCTCAAATGGTAGAATATTTTCTTTCTTGCTTTTTTTTTTTCTACTCTAAATGCTCTTTGCCCTCTCCCACTTCCACTTATGGCCTAGCAACTCCACTCTTAGATAGATATCCAAAAGAATTTAAAGGGAGAATTCAAACTGATACAGTCACACATTGCTTAACGTCCACAGTAACATTTCGTGAAATAGGATGTTATGTGATTTGGACATTGTGCAAACACCGTATTATATACTTAGCAAAGCTATATGGGATACCTTTTGTTTCACTTCCAAATCAATACTTCTCCTTTGCCTCCTGCTGCCACTATCACTAGCACTGGTTTTGCTGCATTTGGGAGCCATGATGCATGTGATGATTAAGGTTGTGTGTCAGCTTGGCTGGGCCATGATTCTCAGTGGTTTGACAGTTATGTAATGATGTAGTCATCCTCCATGATGTGATCTGATGTGATCAGCCAATCAGTTGTAAGGGGAGTTTCCTCGAGAGTGTGGCCTGCGCCCAATTTTTATATGGACGTTCTGGCAAAGCTCGCTTGTTTCAGATCCTACATCCAGTTCATCATCATCTGACCTCTGATTCTTGTGACTTGAGCCAGCGGCCTTTCATCTTACTGGCCAATCTTGGGTTCGTCAGCCCCTGCAGCTACGTGAATCAGGAGAAACCTCCAGCCTGACTCCTGACCCATGGACTTGGGACTTGCCAGCCTCTATAATTGTATGTGAGCCATTTCCTTGAGGTAAATCTATGTATATGCACTGGTTTTGCTTCTCTAGAGAACCCAGCCTAAGACAATGCACTTAACAGTAATATTTTTCAGAAGAAAATTAAGCATAGAGATAATGCTACAACACTTGAGATGCGCGATATATGACATTAGATGCTGCTGCTTACAAGTCAGAGCATACTCTGTTATATGATAAACTTTTTATTTGTAAGTAGGGAAAGTTCACATTAAAATAACAATAGAAAGTACAGTACGGTATGTACATAAGCCAGTAACATAGACATTTATTATGACTATCAAGACATATGTAATAGGGTATATATGTACTGTATCATTATACACCTAGCAGCACTATCTCTTTGTATACAAGAGACATGAGATACATGTGCGGGAAGCTGTTGAGTTCACTACATCCGGTTACGTCCGCTACACCTTCTTCTCCATTCAGGATTTCTGAACGCTGTTATGACCTTATGGGATCACGGATGTATATGCAGTTGGACGTTGCCCAAACAGATGTTATGCAGTGCATGACTGTACTTGTACGCCAATGTTCATTACAGCACTATTCACAATAGCCAAAAGGTGGAAACAACCCAAGTGTCCATCAACAGATGAATGAATAAACAAAATGTGGTATATCTGTACAATAGAATATTTTTCAGCCATAAAGAGAAATGAGGTTCTGATGCGTGCTACCACATAGATGAATCTTGAAAACATTATGCTGAGTGAAATAAGTCAGACACAAAAGGACAAATGTATGATTACATGAATTATCCAGAATAGGCAAATGCATAATCACATAGGTTCATTAGTGATTACCGCTGCAGCTGTGTTTATAATGGTGAAAAATTAGAAACAACCCAAATGCCTATTAATAGGGACATTGTTAAATTACAAAACATATATATTTTTGAGTAATAGCAAATGAAAACAAACAAGGAACGGCTATATGTTCTATATTGTGGTACCATTTGTGTTTCACAAACCATAAGACCAAATTCCTGGATTTACAAATAGGTATGAAAATTCCTAGAAAAAGATCTAACAGCATGCATCCCAGAGTTTAATTTTATTCATTTCTAGTTGTTCATTCATGCATTTAACAACCATTCCTTGAGCATGTGTAAGGAGTTGTCCCTACATGCTGGAATTAGAACAGTAAGTAAGGCAGACAAAGTGCCTGCCCTTGTAGAGTTTTATCTACTAGGAGAAAAGAGGCCAGGAGCAAGGAAATTTATTATATGTCAGGTGATGATAAGTACAATGAAGAACAGTAAAACAAGGGTAAGAGTGGTAGGAAGCACAGGGTGGAATGGGAGGACACGTGCTATTTTAAGCCACACTGCCCAATGGATCCTTCTGCAGTAATCGACATGTCCTGTAAATTTGCACTGTCTAGCACTCCAGTCACTAGCCTCATGTAGCTGGTGAGCACTTGAAGTGTGGCTAGTGCAACTGAGGAAGTGAATTTTTACTTTCATTTAATTTTAATTCATTTAAGTTTAAATAGCCACTTGTAGCTGGTTGCTACCATATTGGGCAGTGCATTTCTATAGAACGGTCAGGGAAGACCTCACTTATAAAGTAACATTTATGCTGAGACCTGAATGAAATGAGGGAGCTAGCCCTGTGTTCCAGGCAAATGAATAGCAGGACCTTATTTGGAGTAGTTGGAGGGCAGTAAGGATGGAGCAGAATGGGCGAAGTGGAGAGTGGAAGGAGATGAGGCCAGAGAAACAGACAGGGACCTCATCAGGCAAGGCCTTGGCGGCTAGTATAAGGACTTTGCTTGTTCTTAGCGTGAGTTGGTAAATCATTAGAAAGCTTTGAGCAAACAAGTGACTTGACCTGAATTTTTAAAGGGTTGCTGGAACTATTGTCATGATAAACAATGAGGTGAGGACAGAAGCAGGGAGACGGAAGGCTACTGCAGTAACCCAGACTGGAGGTGGTGGTGGCCTGAATTAGAGGGACAGTGATGGAGGAGTTGAGGTGTGGCCAGATGAGTTAACAGTACTTACTGACGGATCTGATAAGAGGTGTGAGAAAAAGGGAGGAATCAAGGATGGACTTCAAGGGCTTTGGCCTGGGCAGATGAGATAGGGAGGTTGAGGAATGAGAACATTGGGGGAAGGAATGCAAGAGTTCTGCTTTGGGCATGGTAAGTGGGAGGTGTCTGTAGACAGTTATGCCAAAGTCCTGACAATGGGTGATATTAAATAGGAATGGGTGCTAAAGGATTCCTTCCTAGAGACTTGATTAAAGAAGAGAGTTCACACGTGGTGTGAGGGCAGCTCACTTTCTGTGAGGGGCAAGTCAGATGGCCTGTCAGGGACCTTTTCAGCACGAAGATTTTATATGTCTTAATTACATGTGGCTGTAAGCTTTGGGTCATTATTTTTTACTTTATGTCTTCCATAGGATGGCTCCTGAACGAGTCACATCCCTGTCACGGGTTTGTGTCGCCCTTGTCACTCTTCCAGATTTTGAACCCCTGGTCGAGGCTCTGCTCACCTACCATGGGCATGAACCTCAGGAAGTCCTCTGGCCTGGGTTCTTTGAAGCTGTAAATGAAGCCATTTTACTGTAAGTGATGTCCATTTATCCTACCATCCAACTTCATTTTTCCTTTTCTTAGAATGCTTCCATATGTTGGAAATGCTATAAGACGGTAGATTTCAAACATTTTGGTCTCAGTACCCCTTTAACCAGTTGCCATCTAGTTGATTCCAACTCATGACAATCCCATGTGTGTCAGAATAGAACTGTGCTTCATAGGGTTTCCAATGGCTCATTTTTCAGAAGTAGATCACCAGACCTTTCTTCCGAGGCACCGCTGGGTGGACTTGAACCTCCAACCTCTTGGTTAACAGTCGAGTGTGTTAATTATTTGCACCACCCAGGGGCTCCACAATACCCCTTTACACTCTTGAAATTATTGAGGACCCCAAAAAGAGTTTTTAAAATGAAGGTCATATCAATACTACTATTGAGAAATTTAAAAAATGTTTACTTCATTTAAAAATAATTATAAACCCATTACATGTTAACACAAATATTTTTATGAAAAACAATGATTTGAGATGAATGCTTTTTTTTATATTTTTGCAAAACTCTTTATTCTCTGGCTTAAAGGAAGAGAGCTGCATTCTCATATATGCTTCTGCATTCAGACTGTTGTGATAGGTTGTTTTGTTTGAAGTATATGAAGAAAATCCAGCCTCATGTAGATACGTAGTTGGAAAAGGCAGAATTATTTTAATAGCCATTTCTGGTGATTCGCAGATTTGTGTTGTTCCAGGAAGAACCATGAGATTCAAATAGTCATTCAGCGCTTTAAGTATTTCTGTTGTACTTGTTGACAAGATTTTACATAAAAGATTTTCTTCCATGCTTAGTTGGTGCTGATTCCAGGCAAATACAAGCAACACAACAAGTCTAGCAGGGCCCATAGGTAGATGCACTAATTTGTAAGGCAGAGGTGCAGTTCTCTTGGTGAGATGTTAACTTATCACGACTACATTTGAACTATTCCTTTTTCTTTAGACTCCAAAGGTTGGTTTCAAATTGATGCCATATAACTAGCACCATAGTATTTGAAAACATTCTGTGCATAAGACACAATAAGGTAAATTATCGACATTGTAAAGCCAAGGGAAAGATAGCTTTCCTCATAATTTTGCTTTCTGTTTACAGTTTAGCACACTTTCTTTCAAGTAGATGTCTCCCTTCCACAAGTCAGAGAATTCTGTGATATGGTACCTTCCTCTTTTCCTCCATCTTTAGACATAGATGGTGCAACTGTGGCATAAGAAAGTGAATATTTTAATCCTCCTTTTTTAAGGATCCATTCTTTAATATAGGAAAAATATAAACAAACTTTCTTTTTGAATAAAATATTATCAAATTCTAAAATAACGAGTTTTAGATAAAATTTAAAAATTCGAAAAGTTTCCCCCACAAAAAATTTTTTTTAAATATTGATGGAAAATAAGAAAACATAGTGTACTTTTTTCTTGTATTTCCATGTAGGTACAGGGAAAACATCAGAATTTCCAAAATAATGAGTTATTTGATGCAGTAGGGTTATAAAGTCCTTGGGTGGCGCAAATGGTTTGCACTCAGCTACTGACTGAAAGGTTGATAGTTCAAACACTCCCAGCAATGCTGCAGAAGAAAGGCCTGGCGATCTGGATTTAAATTCCAAAACACCAAAACCTGTTGCCATTGACTCAATTCCAACTCATAGCAACTCTATAGTACAGAGTACAGCTGCCGCATAGAGTTTTCAAGGAGCACCTGGTAGATTTGAACAGCTAACAGCCGTAGCTCTTACCCACTGTGCCACCAGGATCTAAATTAGGAGTTACTTTTTCTGGAATGTTTTGAAACACCGTCCTCTTTCTTCTTAGCAAGTACACCCAACTATAGTAATCCCTAGATTCCACTCAGTCTCAGATTATTTTAAAGCTTTCATGTTTCTGAATTCAAGATATGGAGTTGATGTGATTTTAAAATGATATTTACTACTTATGAACCTTAAATTTTGTTAAAAGTACTAAGGTTTTAAAAATATTTTGTTAATCTTATCTATTTCCTTCAATTATTTATTATTTCAGTGCTTTTAGAGAGAAATTAGAGAATCGCTGGGTTATACTGTAGTTCTATGTTTTGAGGAACCACCAAACTGTTTTCCACAGAGGCTGCACCATTTTACATTCCCACCAGCAGTAGATAAGGGTTCCAATTTCTCCACATCCTCACCAACATTTGTTGTTTTCTGTTTTGTCTTGTTTTTATCTTAGCCATCCTAGTGGAAGTGAAGTTGGTATCTCATTGTGGTTTTAATTTTCACTGAGATATTTACTTTTCTTTAAAATGCTCTCCGCCTTTCACTAAAAAAAGCACCATTTCCAGTTTATTTAGGAATACAATTCGGAGAAGAATAGAGCCCTAGCAACCTCTTTTTCCAGTCTTACTTTTTCAGCGACAGCAAGAGTTGAATTAATGGCAAACGGTATGACGACGCCCCTCGCATCCTCTCTGAAACCCCACAAAGCTGTTTCCAAAATTACTGGTGAGGAGGAGACGTGCTTAGAAAATAGCCATGCATACTCTGCCCACAGTGCTCAGCCGGAAAGCCTCCACAAGTAGGCCCTCTCCCTTGCTTTTTGTTTTACATGTGATAGCATGTCCTCCCTCAGCACCTCACACAATTTATTTGGTTTGGAAAATTATTCCTGCAAGTCCGTAGGGGACAGACTATCCAGAAATGCTGGGTGGTCTTTAACTTGTCCAATTCCTATGGCCTCAGCTCAGCAGTTCCCGAAGCTGTGGAGCAAGAGCTGGAGCCTTTCCCTGGACACTTTCCCACAGACGCAGCATCCGAGCCACATGTTGACACAAGGAGGCTGATTCAGTCAATCAGTGTAAATTACCACCCCCACGCCCACCCCCCCCCCCAACCCCTTTAATAGTTCCCCAAATGTGCTGCGTGGTCATTTAGAAACCACAGACTTTCTCTGACTGATGTGCCCTACCCTGTGTTTAGCCTTCCAACTATTTGCTTACCACATACACCAGTGGAATTTCATCTGTTTTACAATTGGCTGGGTGTTCGTGGCCTTGGCTTCCAAATACAGTCAAGTATTTTCAGAAATGGGATGCCTGTCTTCTTTTAAACAGCAGATGCTTGCCCCCCTCTGAGGTTTAGATAACATAGAGGAACTTTTTAATTTCTTGGACCAAATGTCAAACCTAACTTTTCATGTCCATCCATGGGGTTGCTGTCATAGCCACCTGTGGGTTGCAGATTGCGTAAAAAACTGTCTGGGAGGGCTGCTGAGGTTCTTTTCCTAAGACTGTGGAGTACAAGTAATTCAGCATGACAGGCTGTCTATGGTAAAGCCAAGTGCATTGCTTCAGAAATATTGAGAAGTTTAATGAGTGGATGGAACATTTTTTTCCTACATACCTGGAATGAATATGAACCAATGAACAAATAAAAGAATGGATGAATGACTAACCAACCAACCAGACTCATCAGGGTATCTGTGAGTGTTAAATAGGGTGACCATACATTTTATATTCTAGAGCACAACACTTTTGGGAGTCAAAGGGGGTGCTTTTATAACTAGATGGGGTAACAGACATAAACCTGTCCCAGAGAGGTGGACATATGGCCACCCTGGATTTAAATGGCTTAGCAAGCTTCTTCGCACCCAGAGTAAATACTCAGTAACTATTAGTGTATTGCTATTATTATTACTGATTTTAACAATAGTTATAAGATTTTGCACAAGATTTAGTATTAGATTTTCTCAAACTGGTGTATCTTTCCTCCTACCTGAAGATCACTAAACAAAAGCCAGATGTGAGCTGAATTCCCATTGCTAAAAGAGCTAATGTAGCTTCGAAAAATGCCTGATAAGAAAAGAATTAATTATCTTACAACAAGAATCTAACCTATACTCTGTGAGTAGCTTACTGATGAGTAATTTACTCATCTGGCTTTATCCTGTATATTACATTATGAAAAATTGCTAACTGGAATTAATAAAAGGAGCCACGGATTATTTAAATACCATCAATATTGCTATATTCATTTTGCAAATTGAGAAAATGAGACTCTGAAAATCAAAAAGTAAATTACAAGGCTGACCTGCAGCCAAGCTTCTGGTTTTGTGTTTTTTTCAGCTGGGATAAGAAAAATCAGGCTTTAAATGTTGTCAGATATTATAGGTGAATGTCTAAATAAAGGAAGATTACTATAATGCCAAGAACATAAAAATAGCAAAGACTTAGTAGCAACTAAAACTCCCATTTTTATTTATCCGTTTATTGAAGACTCTCTGGCATCCTTTTATTTTTTATTTAATATGATATGCTCACAAAATCAGTCACTGAAAAAGTTTTCAAATAAGAATCTGCTGTTAGTGATTTGTTAATAGTTACAAATTCCATCTTGTTTGGGCTTGGACGTTTCTTTTGGTTGGTGATTTCTGCCCTTTGCTTTGAGAAGTGACAATGATACCCCATTTCCCTCAACTTGATATACTTCTTGGATCCATTCATCATGGAAATACACCTGTAGGATATAATCAAGAATATTCTTTCCAATTCCTTGGAATTAAGTAATTCTCAAAAAAATTCTCCCAGATTTTCTCTGTCAGCACAAAGAGCACTTGATTTTTTTCTAGTTTGAAAAGGTAGAATATTGCTTATGCAGGTGAGGGAGCTATGCCTCTCTTCTGCCACACTCAGCTCCAGAACACGTTACCCACTGGTGAGCACCTCCTCCCTCATGATCTGAGATCCATCCTTACAAAGAACTGAATTCCACTTTTTTTTTTAAATGTAGCTATAAACAACATTTGGACCCCAAATTTTTAATAAACAACTGTGCCAGATTACATACTACTTCACCAAGTGTCTGTCAATTTGTCATACTCTGGTGGCTCCCATGTTGCTGTGATGCTGGAAGCTATGCTACCAGTATATTTCAAATACCAGCAGGGTTGACCATGGTGGACAGGTTTCAGCAGAGCTTCCAGACTAAGACAGACTAGGAAGAAGGACCTGGCAGT